TACAAATCCCATGAGACATTGCAAGAGTCTCACAGCCACGAATCCCGGAGAGAGATGCATCATGGGATTTGTAGTTTCACCACAGCTGGAGGGCCGGAGTTTGGCTACCACTGCAATAGATCACTATCCTTGGATGCATCAATCATCCAGGGATAGTGATGCGGAGTGGCAGTGTTCTGCCGCTATCAAATGCGCCCGCTGTCACCCGATCATTAACTTGAATGGCTGACAACTACCGCTTCTAAATGGCAGATTTGGAATTCCTGCTGCAGGAATCTGCAAGTTCCTAATGCAGGAATACCAAATCGCACCTTAAGTGTAGGTGTGAATGAAGCCTCCCTTGTGATTATGGGATGGGATAACAAGCAATTCCCAACATGTAATAACCAAAAACAATCCACATATCACTCAAAAAACAATCGGAATAAACAAATCATAGAGCCTACAGTGCAATGACAGATCTGCATGTTTATGGGTTCCAGGAAGTAAAGGGAGATATATGAATCTGCCCTTATTAAAAATGGACACCAAGACTGGGGAAGAAAAGAGAAATTAGGTATGCATAGAATACAAAGCCGGCAATTATCTAGACGCGTGTCTTTGTAGATTGTCATTACTAAACATTTCTAAAAGGTGACTTTATTCCTCTTTAATGCCACCCCAACGCATGTAGCTTGTTGTGGCTATTGGACAGGAAGTAAAGGGAAATCTCCCTAATGGGACTCAGATGGCAAAAAAAAAGGCTGTTAGGGCTTACACTTTCCCTGCACTATCCAAAACTAAAAGAAAAAAAAAGTTTTGACTTCTGTTACACTTTAAGGAAAGTGTGTTTTAGTAATGAGCAACGCAGACAGTTCTTCCTTCAGACACTTATGGAGGGTATGATGGTGGGCAGTATGTGCAGAAGAGACAAGTGAGAAGAATCACCATTATGGAAGTCTAGTATATAATGTAAATATTTACAAGGTTCTTGCATTAATTAGTGTACCACAAAGAGTTCAGCACCACACAGAGGTTCAATAAAAGAGCAGATGAGCTTTTTGTCCTGGGGTATTCTCATGTGACTGGAGCTTGTAAATTGATCTGGGGTCTCCTGTGCACTTCCTCCCATGTGACTGGAGCCTGTAAATTGATCTGGGGTCTCCTGTGCACTTCCTCCCATGTGACTAGAGCCTGTAAATTGATCGGGGGTCTCCTGTGCACTTCCTCCCATGTGACTAGAGCCTGTAAATTGATCGGGGGTCTCCTGTGCACTTCCTCCCATGTGACTGGAGCCTGTAACTTGATCAGGGTCTCCTGGGCACTTCCTCCATCTGTATTGTTGTGTAAGCCAGGTTTAGGTTGCAGGGGAAGGTGGATGACGACAAGAGGTCACAAAGATCAAGGGTAGGCCACTTCAGCCCTCCAGCTGTGGTGAGACTACAGATCCCAACATGCCGCTGCCTCTTGAAGCCACATCTGCAGCTGCCAGTCTGCAATGCTTATGGGAAATTGTAGTTCCACCACACCACAGGCCAAGGTCACCTACCCCTGTGTTAATGTAAATACAAACACTGACGCCATGCAGACGTTTGCCGATTCACAGACTTTCCTACATGGCAAATAATGAATTCCTGGTGATATGAGGCAGCTCTGATCCCATCTTACTTACTGCCCATCGAGGGAAATGTATAAAACTGGAGTAGACAGAATCTGGAGCAGCTTCTTTTATTCGTTTTCAAAGCCGACGAGAAAAGCCGATTTGTTGCCATGGGCAACTGCTCCGGTTTTGATATACTGCCCCCAATGTGCTTTATTGCGATCTGACCAATCTTCTTATTTGCATCCAGCGCCTCCCCACAATCCACAGTTATTCAGCCTTATCAATGGGTGTGTGCAAAGTCAAGCAGCTACAATGATTAAAGGCCATTTATAGTGCAAGGCAATAAAAGTTGAAGGTAGTTGTGTTTCTTTGTCATTTCTGAATGCTTCCAGAACAGTACGCTAACACTAAGACTCACCCCAATCACCAAGCCTGACACTATGGGCCCGTTCACACATAACTGCGTTGTATTGCACTGGATCAACACAGGTGACCGCTAGAACACATAGAAAACAATTGTCCCATTCACACCACAACATGGCTGTGATAAAATGCAAACATAATGCGTTTTATCGAAGCGCAATGGATTCCATCACAGGTCAACGAATGGCAGTGCAGTGGACCTGGATGGAGTGTACACATTGTATAATACCAATAAAGTTGAAAAAAAAATGTAAACAGTGACAGGTCCGGCAATCTACAATAGAACAATACCACCGGAGCTGTCTCAGTCCGGTCACTCGCCCATCCACTGAAATGCAATGTTACAGAGCACGGGCTAGTGTGAACGGGCCATAACCATTCAGGTTCTGCTTTGTGTGAGTTTTATTTCACGCTTGTATTAACCCACAAAAAGGAGAAGACCGGAGGGGACTGATAAGTTTGCAAATATTACTGAAATTTGCATTGAGTTGCATGACACTACTGTCCTGTCATTTAGAAGTATTGTATATGATGTGCCCATAGAAGAGCCCACAGGGTGGGGGTGGGAGGGGATGGGTTACACAGGACTATGGCTGCTATGTAGCAGAACATTGACGGTAGAGTGAAGCTTTGTCATCACGTGACTGCATAGACAAAGATGACACTAGAACTGAAGGCTGAACAGTTTTAGTTACAGTAAGGGAGGGTGATAAACAATGTCACCTTTTTTTCTGCCATCTGTGTCCCATTAGGGAGATTTCCCTTCAGTTCTAGTCCGACAGCCACAACAGGAAGTGAGGGGAAATCGCTGGTCTCCAGAAATGGTGACCCCATTGGAAGATTTCCCATCATTTCCTGTTCTGGTGAAAACCCAAAATTCTGGATTTTCTTTCACTTTCAGTGATAACCGTCCTTAGATCAAATACAGGGGGGTTAATCTCACTAAATTTAATACCTGACAGGGGTTCTACTCTCTCTACACTTCATCCAGAACATTGGCTTCATTTACAGTTTAAGAAAAAGGTATTTATAATACAATTCACAAGAGACTGTGTGCCGGGCAAAGGGGGGCACTGCAGAGGCAACGTATAGAAATAAGCTGGTTGATAGTAGCCTTGTCAGCACAGTATACACAGGGTTAAAATGGAACTACAACCTCCCAACCCTTACCGCCAAGGAAGGTGCCATCTTGGCCCCTATTTAGATTGCAGTTGCTATGCTGTGCACATGTGATCAGCAATGACGCCAGCCATTTTGGGGCGCTCAGTGCTGACTGTACCTCCTCAATCCCACAGGATCGCCCTTATATTCAGCTTCAGACTGGAGTGGAGCACAGCACAGCCAACATTGAAGCAGTGTTACTTTAAAACAAAGTGCACTTATTCTTTTTCTCCCCCTCCACAGATCCGTACTTACCGAGATTCAACAGGGATGGTCCTGCTATTGTTTACATCCAGTGCCGCCAATGCCCCCTCTGCTGGCCGCACCTGCACAGACTTCTACGGGGGCATCTTCCTGTTGGAAGACTGACCGTGCCAGGAAAGGAAGACTTACAGTGCCAAATGACAACAAACAGCGGATTTGGTGGACCTTAAATCTCAGTAAGTATCAATCTATGGCAGGAGAAGATGGGATTGTTTAGGTCGAGGGATGGGAGCAAATAGAAGTGGTTTGGCCTCATTTACACTGCGTTAACTCAGGCCGTACAGCGTGCATGCCTGTATCTGGCTGTTCTCGGGAGGGACAGGTGCTGCGTGTATCAGGCTGTTCTCTGTGGGAGAACACGGCCGTACGCACACCTGAACTGCACATCCGTGTGGGTCCGGGTGTCTGTACTGGATGGATCGTGTCTGCGTCTGAGCACAGACACCCGGACCCGTATGGATGTGCAGTTCGGGTGGGCTTATGACACCGTACGGCCAGGTCCTCCCATAGGGAAGAACAGGCTGCTGCGTGCAATCACACACAGCACTTTTCCCTCCCGGGAACGGCCCGATACCGGCATGCACGCCGCACAGACATGTATGGCCTGAGTTAACGCAATGTGAATGAGGCCTTTGTCTAAAGGTGCACTTTTTCTTAAATATAACAAGGTGCTTTTTTCTGCAGAGGGGCCACCAATTAGAATGGGACCAAGTGCTATTATGTGCTATGTGCACTTGGTCCCCTGGGGGATTCAATAAAAGTTCAAAAACAAATTCAGGAGTTTTTCTTTAACATTATACAGAAGGGGAGAACAATGTAAGAATTTTTCAGCAAGCCACAATTTTTAAAGTGATGGGGTGTGAATGGGGTAACAAATATAAGGGGGCATCATACCTATCAGTGTAAATACATATCAAGTATTTGATGATGGGTCCACCGTTGTGCGCTGTAATGAGTGCAGAACACAGAGCTCAATCACCTGCAGATCTGTATAATTGTACAGCAGAGAACACACTCTTAGCCCCTACCCTCCCCCCCCACCTCACATACCTGCACACAGACACCCCAATCATTCCCCCAAATCATATGTCAGAATAACAAACATGCATTGCTACCCGGGACAAGGAAACAACGACACCATGGAAGTGATCGCCCACATCCCCATACATGCACAAGGGATAAACCGAGCCCGGTGAGCCTGCTGCCTGCACCGCACACCCTTTACCTGCACATCGCTGAGCTCCACCCGCAGGTACAGCTCATGGTGCCTCTGTGCCCAATACACCTGCGGGGTCAGACTCATCGCCGCACCTCGCTCCCTTGCTCTCTCCTATCACTGATATATACTAGAACAATCCGCTGAGCGCACCCGGGCTGTCACTGCGCCACCTGGAGGCGGGCCCGGGGAAGCTCAGCCATGCTGCGTAAGGGCACGCCTGGCTGTTCCGATCAGTGCGCCATGATACGTAAGGACATTTCGTCATGACACTCGGGCGGCCATATTGAATCAGGGAAAGAAGCCGCTACTCGGTTTCCTGGGTAGGGCAGCAGCCGTGCATTCGCAGTCGGTCGAAAAATTCGGGGAAGCAGACGAGCTGTCACTGCGCCACATGGAGGCAGGCCCGAGGAAGCTCAGCCGGGGCCATGCTATGTAAGGGCACGCTTGACGATTCCGGTGGGTCCGCCATGATAAGTGAGGGCATTTCATCATTGCTAATCAGATACTCGAGCGGACATATTGCATCAGGGAAAAAAAACACACTACTTGGTTTCCTGGGCAGAGGGGAAACGGTTTTCAACAGACGCGAACCCGTATTTGAAGTTGCCTCCGGAACGATATTGTGAATGAATGCAGAGCTATGCACCTGGGAACGAATGTAAAATACTGTCAGCTCTGATCCTTACATCATCGTAAGGGGAGCTTTCTGATTGGCGGGATTCAGTGTAATACATAAAGTAATGTTGAGAAAAGCACCTTTAATCAGTCCGCCCACAACCCAAGGTACTTTAGCTTGGTTCAGTTATATAACAAAATACTATGTTAAGATATTCGCGTATGTAATTGTACAAATTATGTATAGGCTGTAGATAAAAACAACAATTTTGCTATTTAGATGGCTGTACTGTTTATTGTGGATAAAAACTGTTATATATATATGTGAGTGATAGAAGTGTGCAGGGGCTGCAGATTGCGTCGCCGCCTCCGGCCAGCAGGAGGCCCCCGCGGCGGGCCGGCTTCGTCAATCGTTATTGCAATCCCGCCTTCAGCCAGTAGGGGTGCTCCTGTGACAGCCTGGCCTCGCCTTTCTCCGGTGCAATGCCGCCTCCGGCCAGCAGGGGCTCCCCTTTTGGCAGCCTGGCCTCCCCATTCTTCAGGAAGCGGATGTGTGAGCGCTAGCAGCACCGGGGCCGGGAGTGAGAGCAGCCAAGTCATAACCGGGAAGAAGAGAGAGCAGGAGCTGGGCCCGGCCTCTTTCACCTGCCCGCTTCCCCATGCTAGGTGAGGGCGCTTCCCTGTGCCGGGGAGCCGGCTGTTTAGGCGGAGTGGAGGGTTGGAGAATACATGAAGCACCAACGAGCCTGGTGAGGGGACAGCGGGTCTCCTGACGACCTATCGGTCTGGGCCGACTCCTGATTTCCGCTGTGGGCCTCATAAGGGGTCACTGCACTGATCAGCTTCCATGGCTGCCTGTGTGACCTCAGCCTGGTTGTCATAGTTCCAATTCCTGCCTGGCAGTGGCAGGGCCTGGGCTGTGCGGGGCCTCAATTAAAGTGCATCTGAAGTCTTTTTATTCTTGGCTCTGGATATAGTGGGGGCAGGGTTAGGACCCATGACAGGTTCTAGTGTCTGTATCTCGGCAAGGGAGATTCGACCCTCCTACTTGTACCGGTGACCACTGCTACTGAGACAGGAAGTGAGGCGAAGCTAATCATTTTGATTTGCTTTCAAAACAGCAAAAGGGAAATCCTAGGTTGGCCATACCTTGCTGAATGCCCCCATTCATGCTAAGTCTATGGCTAGCCTTGCAATGGGTTCCAGTGACAGCTGTCTATAAGAGGAGTTCCCCTTACTTTGGAGAGATTTCCTGTTACGTCTACAGGACAGGAAGTGAAGGGAGATCACCCCGGCAGGCCAGAGGTGGAAGAAAAATACTGATGGTGTTTAAATTATTCTCTATAGATAAGGCTTCATTCACACTGGCAGTGTCAAGCTCGCATATAGAAATTTGTAGTACCTTGTATAAATTATTATATAAATGTGTGTAGCGATTTTTCAATGGTATTAACCATGAGCGTTTAGTAATAATAGAAGTCTGGGGGTATTGGATCACGGGTAGGCAACCTGAGCACTCCTGGTGCGGTCATGCTACCAATCCCATCATACTGCTCTCTCTGGGAGCCTGGCTGTCAGTCTTGCAGTGCATCGTGGGATTTGTAGTTCCAGAACAGCTGGAGTGCCTATTCCTGGATTAGAAGATCTATACGCAGCAGAACATGGGACATCTGAATGGAGGAAAAAAGTGATCTGCGAAGCATAAAAGTTGTTTATACCTCCCAGATAATTTCTGTATTACAAAAAAAAGAAATGGCTTAACACAGGAGTGCCACAGTGAATGAGACCAGACCGTGACATGCCTGGGTTCATGTGCATTGTTATAAGACCTTTCTGAATGCATATATACCACTTTCTCAGGGGAATTTGGGGAAAATTAACCCCCCCCTTCCCCCCCCCCCCCCCCCCTGACATGAGGAGGTGGCGGGGAAGGAAAATTGTAAATATGCCAGTTTTTCCGAGTTTCTGCCATTCCTCATGTCAGCCCACTGTGGGACGTAACCAGCAATGCTAACACCAGGGCAGGAACAAATAAAAACACACCACACAAATACTGCAACAAAAAAAAAAAGAGTTCTTTTTTTGAGTACAGGCTGAGGACAAAACAGGAGAGAGAAGGTATAGAGCAGCTGCAGACCTCCCCACACCTGCCAGAGCTCAAGGGTGGCCTGCACTTTATGCCAGGCGATAAACATCCTTGCAGCAAGGGAACCCACCATCCACTTCATTTACACAGTCAGGGGGTCATCCACCAAGAGAATGTGAACCTGGTAGGGAGCAATCGAGTGTCTGGAGCAAGGATGTAAAAAGAACTTTAGGGTGAGCGGTTACAAACCTTAAATGTGCTACTAAGGAGTTGTCTTGGGAGGGTCAGACCTGTCGTGGGCTGACATGAGGAGTGCCAGGAAAAGCTGTAAGACAACTCTCATGTTTTGGTGCATTTGTGGATGGAATAAACTGCTTCCACAGAGCAGATATGGGCATTGCTTCATAATCAGGAAGGACAATGCAAGTATAGCTGGAGTTCCACATAATGCTTATATGCCCTTATATGGGGGATGAAACCAATTAATCTATAATAAGCAATAATGAGAATCATTGTCAATGATGACTCGGTGTCAGACCTCTGATGATTCCCCAAACAGTAAAGTTAAACAAAGTTGCTTTCCCCCAATTATAAAAAAATATATATAAAAAGTCCTTTTCGGTTTTGACCTGAGAAATTCTGGTGCAGGAGGTGCCATTCATTTTGCCTTCTGCCTGCAGTGCAATCACCCGCACCAGAACGTGTGTTTTATTTTAAATTGAGGATGGTATTTTTTTTTATCCTATTAATTGAAAAAATAATCGGTCAACTAATCAATTATGAAAATAATTGTTGTAGCCCTGCCTTATACACATAAATACAGATCTCAGACTAGACTTTTGTGACTTTATTGCCTTGGCCTGAGCTTTGGCAGATGGACTGTTAGATCATTGCTCTCTATGGCAGGCAAAATGTGCAGCCCAAGATCAGGTTGTAAGATATCAGAAAAGTCTGTGTTTATAATTTGGATTAGGGGGAAAGAAGACCTTTCTGGGCCTTTATATTAGGGATCCACCAATACCGGTTTTTCGGTATCAAGTACCAAATTTTTCCCCCCAGTATTTACTGATACCGGAAATCCAATTAAGGAAGCCAGGTGGCATGCAATGACTCGCCCCCTGGCTTCCTGATTAGCCGGGAAGCTGGGCAGCGTGCAAAGACTCGCCACCAGGCTTCCCGATCATCAGGGAAGCCGTCTACATGCTTCCCCGTCACCAGGTGACGAGGAAGCATGGAGTCAGCTTTCTGGCCGATCAGGAAGCCGGGGAGCGTGTAATGACATGCGGCCCGGTTTCCTGATTGGTTGGCTCCCATGCTCTCTCGTTACAAGTGACGAGTGAGCATGGAGACGGCTTCCCGGCCAACCAGGAAGCTAGGCAGCGTATAATGACTCGCTGCCCAGCTTCCTGTTGCCGGAAGCGCAAGTATCGGGCTAGGCATCGGAGCATTTGGGCGAGTACTCGGTATCGGTGCATTCCTACTTTATATTTTACTTCAGCAGTATTTAAATGTAGTATTCAGGAACCAGTCAGTCTATCCTAGGAGAAAGAAGGAAACTAAAGAACCAGACAACATATATCTGCATTGATGGTAAAAGCACAAAAAAGAGGTCAGGGGAACTAGATCAATTTTCAGCACCCAGTCACCTAATTCTGCTAGAATAAGCTGCATACATCTGAGCAAACAAACATCTAAGTAAATTAGTTGATGCTTCCAGTATTTTGGAATTATGTTTTTTTATAACCATTTTTTTTTTAAATAGTTCATTATCAAAACTTGTAGCATTCCGAATTTTGACAATATCCCGCGTGCTCTGAGTGATTTTGCCTCAAATGATATATAAAAATGTAGTATTGGAAGACTGGGACCCTGATGTCTATGGATGTGGTGAAGGGTTCAGAGTTTGGTGTCCTGTCATAGAATATTAACAATAATACATTTTTAACAGGATGCAACATGGCAGCAGCTATGGAGACTGAGCAGGTCGGACTAGAGATTTTTGAGTCCACAAGCAGCCATGGAAGCACAGAGCCCATTGGAGGAGACTCCAAGCCAGAACCTTTCTATGTGGAGCGTCATTCATGGAGCCAGATGCGGAAGCTGCTAGCAGACACCAGGAAATACCATGGGTTTATGATGGCGAAGGCCCCTCACAGCTTCACTTTTGTAAAGAGAAATGACCCAGATAGCCCTCACTCTGATAGGATGTACTATCTGGGTATGTGTAAGTATCCTATTTATTTTTATAAACAGACTTTGACTACATTGCCTGTAAATGTGATTCATGGCTCAGTGCTTCCTGTGAAAAGTTTAATGGTTCCTTTTGCCTCAGGTATACGACATCAACAAGGACAATATATTTTGTTCTATTATTATCTATTATCCCTGATGGACCGTTTATGTTTGCCCGCTTTCCCTTCCTCTTTTCTTCTTTCCTGCCTTCCCTTCCTCTTTTCTTCTTTC